GCCAAATAAATAAGTAAACATTAAAAAAGAAAAGACCAGATGGTGACCCCTACCCTCAGGCTCCAGTGGGCTCTCAGTCCACTGTGTGTCCTGAAATCTGCCTAATTCACCCCTGTCTTTATCTACTTGCTGGCTTGGTGAGGCTTCTCCACCTTGATAGGGCTCAGAGACCTCAAAGCAGACTTCATTTCTGGTTGCAAGCCCCTTACACTCAGGCCACAGTTTCTGTGCACCAGACCAGTATGAGCTCTCAGCAGCCCAGTGGGTCCCGGGGACCTTTGCATCTTACATACACCCTGACATGCAGACAATGCCGCACTATCTTTGCAGGTTATACATCCTGTTTGCCCACTGCTTTCCATGGGGAGAGAACGTTAGGAAAAAGGAAATCTCTCTCATTTTATTTAAGTGCACCAGAAAATGAAATTGTTGCTCAGTCACTAAGTCATGTCTGACTCTGCAATCCCACGGACTATAGCCCACTAGACTCTGTCCGTGGAGTCTCCAGGCAAGGATACGGGAATGGGTTACCATATCCTCCTCCAGGGGATCTTCCTGACCCAGGGATTGAACCCGAGCCTCTTGCACTGGCAGGTGGATTCCTTACCACTGAGCCATCTGGGAAGCCCCTAGAAAATGAAATACAATCAGTTAAGCCTGTGGAAGTCTGCACCATCTAGTGAAACACAGTGTCATGCTTTCCTGGAGGCAACATCTGTGGGCTGGGCAGAGTGACATGCTATTTCCCTCATCAAGGAAGACATCAATGGCCTTTCCAGGGCACATGCCTCTCTGTGGACAGCCACCTGTACACAGGTGGGGTCCTGGGCTCTGGACTGAGCTTGGCAGGACACTGTGCTATACGGTAGAAAGAATATCACCAGGTGTCCGACAGCTGGGCCTGCCTCTAACTAGCTCTGTGGCTGTGTGATCCTGGTCAAGTCATTTCCCCTTTCTGGGCCTCGGTTTCCATGTTTGTAAATGTACAGGAGTTTGGGAGAAGATAATTGGGGAAAATGGAATTAACAGATGTACACTACCATATACAAAATAGATAGCAGCAGTGTTTTACAGTATAGCAAAGGGAGCTATATTCACTATCTCATAATAAACTAAAATGGAGAAGAATCGAAAAAAGTGTATAGATACATACATATATATGTGTAACCAAATCACTTTGCTATACACCTGAAACTAACACATATTATAAATCACTATACTTCCATTTTTTTCATGTGCAGGAGATGATAAGATCTTCCTCCAGGTTGATTGAGGTGGTGCAGTGGGGAGTGTGGGCTTTGGGGCTGGCAAGTTCTGATGATGGGTCCACTCACTCGCTGGCTGTGATCCTAGGCTTGCTGAGCCTTGGATTTCTTACTGTAAACTGGAATCATAATAATATCCACCACTTAGATGAATAACTAAAGAAAAGCATTGACATACTTAAGTCTGGACCTACTCAGTGTCCAATAAAATGTTTCAAGGAAAATAAGAATAAATGTCTGTTGAGAGTATAATTCAAAAGATACCTGCACCCCATATTCATAGCAGCACGATAGCTGTTTGCAGGAACATGGATGGACCTAAAGATTGTCACACTAAGTAAAGTAAGTCAGACAGAGAAGGACAAATACCATATGATATCACTTATATGTGGAATCTAACACAAAGAAACTTATCTACAAAACAGGAACAGACTCACAGACATAGAAAACAGACTTGCACTTGCCAGGAAGTAGAGGGTGTGGAGAAGGGATAGAGTGGGAGTTTGGGTTTAGCAGAAATAAACTATTACATATAGGATGGATAAGCAAGATCCTACTGTGTAGCACAGGAAACTATATTCAATATCTTGTGATAAACCATAATAGAAAAGAATATAAAAAATAATGTATACATATGGATAACTGAATCATTTTGCTGTACTGCAGAATTAGTTTGCTATGTTAGTTTGCTGCAGAAACTAACATAACATTGTAAATCAATGTCAAAAAAAATAATAAAGGTCTGTAACTATGAAAAATAAAGTTCCCTAAATACACATACATAAAATGATATGTAACCAATTGTTCCTCCTAACCTTCTCTTTCTGTTTTCTCTCCATCAACCCTCCACCTCATCCTTGCTCTGTACCTCCCTCCATCTATCCAAACTTGCTTTTGGGGAAAATTAGCAATCAGCTCCTCACTAGCCTAAATGAATAGTGAATTCTGTAGGAACACTGGCTCCATAAAAACAGCAAGGTCCTCAGTCAAAAAGGAAGCTCAAGAGGTGGAGTTTTGAGCCATGTCAGTGTCATCCTGGTTCCCTAGTATGCAAGTCTCTGGCTCTGTGTGGTGGTGAAGCTGACCTTGATAACGGCCAAACACACATCCCTGTACCAGGCCCTGCCAGATTGCGTTGAGGGCACTGGCTTGAGCTAGAAGTCAGGAGCCCTGCATGGTCAGCCTGCATCTCCCTGGCCACCTGAAATTTCAGGAACGACATACATTCTGTGTGAGCCCTAGTCACCAGCTGTTATCCTGGACAAATCCTGGTGTCCGAACCAACTCACTTATGGGACAGAGAAGCTGTTGCCAGGTTGCATTATTCTGGGAGATTCTAGGAAAATGAACTTATTCCAAAGACCATGTATGTCCCACTCCCCAACTACCCCCAAATCTTTACCTACCACTACCTTGGTAGGTTTCCTTCTTTCAAATACCTAGGGAGGTTCATAGCCCTGCAGGCTTTGCTAGTCATTAAAATGTTAGTGTGAACTAGCTTATCAGATAAGTAAAATGGATATCAAGTAAGGCTCCAGGAGTATGGATGAGAACAAGTAAAATTTATTTTTTAATATTTATTTACTTGGCTGCGCCAGGTCTTAGTTGTGTCATGCAAGTTTAGTTGTAGCATGTAGGATCTAGTCCCCTGACCAGGGATTGAACCCTGGTCCCCTTGCATTGTGATCACCGAGTCTTAGCCTCTGGACCACCAGGGAAATCCCAAGTACATATTGATGAGAGATGCAGGGTATGGACTAAAGGCTGGGTGAATAAGCTCAGTGGGTATTGGGTAGGGGCCAGAAGCATCTCACAGAGGTACTCTGCAGAAGGAAAGGCAGTTATAAACATTAATGGAGCACCTACTATGTGTCAGGCATGCTACGAGGCAAAAGCCCTAAGAAACATGCTTGTTAATAACACAGTCAATGCTGCCCACAATTTCCCTTGATAAGCTAGCTGCAGGGTGATTGAGAATTGAGACTGGAATCACCACCCTCTACATCTCAGACACTGTAGTTCCCCAGTGGCCTCTCCCAAGGTGAGCTTCTCACCAACTAAGCAGAGCAGCTGGCTCTAAGGATACAAATGTTTCAAGCAGCCAACCTTCAATTGCAAACCAATAGGTTCCAAGGCTAGAGGGAAAACTGGCTGGGTGAAACATTTTCAAAGTACATTGGTTTCTAATATAGCACCTTTCTGAGGAATTTTCAAGTGTCATTTCAATTCTAGGGGGTGTTTGTGGTGGCCGAGGCTGGAATGCAGTCCCCAGGTGAGATGAGTCTCTGATACACAGAATTCAGAAGTCCAGCAATCCCTGACAAATGGCAGGTTATATACACATAACCGCTGTCCATTAAATCCACTTATGACCCCCTGGTCAGTACTGTGCCGAGGGAGCCCCACACACCTGGTCCCCTGCACCAGGTATACCTTGGACTCCCTGGTTTTTGTTCCCTGGTATTAGGAAGACCTCAACCTTCCGCATCCCCTGAGTAGCTGAGCTCTGCTCCTCTCTAGAGCATAAGGATGCCAAGAACACTGCTGGCAGCACCTAAGCTTCAATGAAAAGGCCACGGCAGCCCAGTTACCCTCCTGGCTGTGCCATCCTACCTTCTGGGCCAGCTCCTCTGGCTCACTCAGCCCCACCCTCCACAAAGCTGTTGGTGTAATTCTTCCAAAACACAAATCTGCCTATGGCACTCCCACTGCCTCAGGTTACCCTTAGCTTTATCTTAGTGGTAGCAGAAATCATAGCAACTCTAATAATAGTGATGGAGTTATAGCTAACTAGAGTGAGCTCCACTTGTGGTGTGCCAAGCACGCTGTCCAAGCCAGGATGCCGTCTCTCATCCGCTCCCCACAACACCTGGCAGGGCAGGTGGCAGAGAAGGGGGTAGAGGGTCCGAAAGGTGACGTCTCTCCTCACAGTCACAAGGCTCAAAAGTCAGGCCACCACCAGGTGTCAGATTTAGGTTCTGCCAACTTCGGAACCCATGTTCTCAACCAGTGTACCATGTGGCCTAAACAAATGATTGGAAAAAGGTGTGATGAGTGCAGAGTGATTCACACTCCTCTTGGAATCAGGTTGTGTGTCCACTATCACAACCCTGGTCTCCCTGCATCCCAAGTGTCCATCAATTTGTGGGGACCAAGCTCCTCCAGGTCAGGACCTAGAACTTTCCCCATCACAGCCCTGGTCTCACCGCATCCCAGGTGTCCATCAATTTGTGGGGACCAAGCTCCTCCAGGTCAGGGACTGCGCTGATTCACTTTTACTTTGCCAGCACCCGGGAGGGGTCTTGGCACCTGGTCGGTGCTCAATAAATGGCTGACAGGTTAATGAATGGGTAAGTGCGTGAATGAATCAATCGATTGGAATCAAGCCCTAGCCTTCTCCAAGAACCTTGCCTGCTTATCAAAGCCCCCAGGGTAATCTCATTTCTCTAAATTCCTTCAGCACTTTTTTTCTTGAGTGTTAATTGCACTCTGTTTTCCCACATGCAATATTTTTGTCTGTAAGTTACTGATGCCTCCCCAAGCCACCATAGGCAACTTGGGCAAGGATGGCATTTAACCTCTCTTTTCCCAAGTCACCCAGCTCAGGGCAGAGCCCTTAGTTCTGGGTGAGTAAGCAGATTAGTTCATTGTGACCCTGAGAGCAGAAAACAGAACATGAGGACACCCGGACTGGGAGGCATGACCCTTTGTTCTCTCTGTCCCCACCCCCTGTAGGAGCCTCCTCTGGCATCATTGACCTCTTGCCATCCCCCAGTGCTGCCACCAACTGGACCACAGGACTGCTGGTGGACAGCAGTGAAATGATCTTCAAGTTCGATGGCAGGCAGGGTGCCAAGGTCCCTGACGGAGTTGTGCCCAAGAACCTGACCGACCAGTTCACCATCACCATGTGGATGAAGCACGGCCCCAGCCCTGGCGTGAGAGCAGAGAAGGAAACCATCCTCTGCAACTCAGATAAAACCGGTGAGCCTCGCATCCAGCTTTCCTAGCAGCTGCCCGTTATGTCCCAGCTAGTCAGGCATGGCCACGGCCACCAAGAGTGTGGGAGAAAAACAGGAGAGGAGACCTGGGAAAACAATCTGGTCTCTGGTTTTCTGCCTGCTGACTTCCCAGGCTTGGGGTAGGACAAGACCAAAAATGGGAGGTAGGGTACAGACACCGAAGAATCGAAAAGTTGGCATTGGTGGTTTTGAGACTGGGTTCTTCAGAACCTCAGCCTCCCCAGATGTAACTTAGGGCTGCTGTACCAGGGACTGGGGCTGAGGGAGGAGATTTCATCTTTACTTCAAGCAAAGCAGCTCCACCTTCACTGTATTGTATATAGGCATATTTCCATTAAGATAATTTTCAATGAAAGGGTCCTGCTAACTTAGAACAGTGGTTGAAAATCACTGCTGTGCATAATAATGATAGCTAAGTCTTCTTAGCTATTTTTCAGTATGCTAAGTGTGTGTAAGGGGATTCACAGCTTGGTGGTTAAAAATGCTCCAGCACTTATTGGCTGTGTAATCTTGAGCAAGTTGTTTAACCTCTCTGGGTCTCAATTTCCCAGTCTATAAAACATGCATTTTATTAATAGTATTATCTACCTCATAAGGTTTTTATCAGAATTAAGTGACTTGATGTATGTATAGAGCTTTAGAACAGTACCTGGCACACAGAAAGTACAATCTGTGTTAGCTCTTCCTGTTCCAAACAGTGTCTCACATCTCTACAATTGATTTTATAAAAGCAATATTGCGTTTTCTGTTTTAAGGATAAGGAAACATCCCTGAGAGGTTAAGTAGCTTGTCCCAAATTATACAGCCAGTAGGTATCAGAACTGGAAGGTAAAGCTTAGCTCTGGCTAACTCCTACCCCATGTTCCGCTCATTACACCCCACATGTAAAGACACACACAACACAAATACTCTGATATCTCATGAAAATTTGATGCCCACAGTTTTCCATTTCAAATGCTACTCTTGTTAAAATACTTCAAATAAATAACAGCAGCCCATGGTGCAGTGAGAAGACAGGAGAGAAGGAAGTCTGCATGCTCAGCTCTGCCGCTGGACAGCCACAGTTCACATGGAAGCTTTCCCACTATTTAACACATGACCTTTGAGGGCTTGCTACTCAGCTTCAGTTCAGTTTCCCCATATGTATCATGGGGGAGATAAACATGAGATAATGTATGAAATCACTTAGCAGATCCAGACAAAATCAGTGCCAATTTACTCAATGTGGTTGTCATTTATCACTACTATTTCTGGTTTTATTCCACATTCTATTATTATCAGAACCCCACATTTCCTATTTCACCTAATCTTTTCAATACATGTTCAAGTGTTTTTTGGATGTAGAAACTGAGACAAAGAAGGTTGCCCATTTTTCTAGGCATATGTTGTCAGAGCCAGGGCCAAGGATTGGTTTTCCTAGGATCTTTCTCTAGGAAGGGCCCCACAGACCTGCTTAAGGTGCCACTGGGGATTGGGACTGGGTTCAGAGCTCAGCCCAGGACCTTAGGAACCACCCTGTGGCCCCATCTTCGCGGTGCCTGGCAGGGTGCTTCCATCATGAACCCAGGAGCCCAAAAGCAAAGCATCCCCAGCTGGGGTTAGCGGCCACACACATGGAGTCCTTTCTAAAATGTATCAAATGCCCTTGGGAGGCAGGTCAGACAGATAGAGACCTTCAGGCTTCCAGAGAAGGAAACTGGAATATGAAAGGTTGAGCAACTAACCTAAGATAACACAATTGATTGCCAAAGAAACAGGCTTGGCCCTAGTTCCTCTGGCTCAGGTTTCAGCTCAGTTCAGTCCCTCAGTCATATCCAACTCTTTGCGACCCTGGACTGCAGCACGCCAGGCCTCCCTGTCCATCACCAATTCCCAGAGTTTACTCAAACTCACGTCCAATGAGTCAGTGATGCCATCCAGACATCTCATTCTCTGTCATCCCCTTCTCCTCCTGCCTTCAATCTTTCCCAGCATCAGGGTCTTTTCCAATGAGTCAGTTCTTCGCATCAGATGGCCAAAGTATTGGAGTTTCAGCTTCAGCATCAGTCCTTCCAATGAATATTCAGGACTGATTTCACGTTTCAGGACCATGATATTGGAACAGCGGCTCTCAACCCTACTATGCACTGGAATAACCTCGTGACCCTGTAAAAATACCTAGATGCCAGAGCCCTGCCCCGGCTCAGTGAGTCAGCATCTGGGGGATTCTTTCATGCAGCCATAGCTGAAAACTTTGCATTAGATGATGATGCCTCACTTTCATCAGAGTAGCACCCCCAGTAGGCATTTCAGCCCCTTAAACCAGCAAGTTATGGCGCTGCTCAGCTTTGGCCTCAGCATAAAATAACACTGGGCCAATCAGCTCAACACTGGCACAAAAACAATGGGGAAGATTTTCTCATTTCTCTGACTTGAAAATAAACCTATATATATCTCCTGCCCTAAATTAAAACATTTGTCAGAATCAACTAAAGCTTGATTAGGGCTTTTATGTATCAGGAAAAGAATTGTCAAGTTATAAAAGCAACACATGTTTATAGCAGGTAACCTAAAAATCACAGAAAAATAGAAAAAATATACGTCACCTAAAATTCTAATAATTGGAGGTATTTTTTGATAACAGTTGACATATTTCAGTATGAAATTAAATCTTATTTTTATTTCTATGTATATATAGAGTATTCTTACATTTTTCAATCTATTTTTATAATACCTGTGATACTATTATGTTTCTCTTAAATAGCATTACATGTATCCAGGTCATTTCTCTATGTGATAAAATATTCTTTAAAAATATGAATTACATGACAGTCCTGAGGCTTTATTATACTTCATTTAACTTGCTCCCTTTTGTTAGACATTTAGAAAGTCTCCTTTTAAATGCAACTGAAATAATGTTGTAATAGGCATTATTGCAATATATAATAAGCATTCTTGTATATACCTGTATGGATAGTTTTGATTATTTCCTGACCAGAAGCTGAATTATTGAGTTAAAGAATATATTGTGTTGGCCAAAAAGTTCATTTGGATTTTCCCATAAGATGTTATGGAAAAAAACCAAACAAACTTTTTGGTCAAGCCAATAAATGTTAGAAAGGCTGTTGATATAAATTACAAAATTGCCCTTCATGAAAATTGCACTAGTTTCTGTCTTACCCACTAAGTAAAACTCACCAATGCTAGCCTATGATGAAGTAGTTTATTAATAGTTGGATAACAGAACTGATTAGTCATCAAGGGTTAATTGCAGTTTTATAAAAGAAAGAAAACCACTCAGCACAACCACCCAAGAAGCCTCACAGTGACTAATACCTTTCATTAGTTTTCCCTCCTGTCACTGTCCAGCAGCCTAAGATGGAGCTGCGGGGTGAGGCTCAGCTTTGCCCAGACATCTGGGGACTCGAGATCCTTCCATCATTTGTCACTGCCATTTTCAACCATGGAACAGAAAGTTGAAATAGACGGTTGAACACAGAAGGGTTTTATTAGCTAGACCAGCAAGCCATATACTCACAGTTTTCTGGTGAGAATTTGATCTCAGTGTTCCATCTGACCATGAGAGAAGCAGCGATATGACTTAAGCTATATTTCTAAGAGCAAGGATACAAGTTTAGGTGAACACATAGCAATGGCTCTACCACATGGTATTGTGAGGGGCACTTGTGCTCCCTCCAACCCCACCTTTGTTGACCCTATCTCTCCATTCCTGGTGTGGGCAATGTCCTTTCCTGGCCTCTCTTAGAAACTCCTCTCCCTCTACACACCCGCTCCTGCTGTGGGACCCTTTCTTCCTGGCATCAGCCCTCTCGATGCCTCTGAGTTTCATTTGAATATGATGTGCCACTTGCAGTGCCAGCTACTTTCAAACAGGGCTTTCCAATACAGAGGGGCCAACCAGTCCAGAAATCACCAAGTGATGGGGGCAGAGGTGCCAGCCTAGTAGAGAGTCCTAGGATGGTCCCTCAGCCCGCTGGACAAGGAAGGGATGCTCTCACATGTCCAGAGATGCCCAGAAAACCTCTCAAAGGGATCAAGGTTGGCTAAGCTGTAAACACTCTTACATCTGTTCAGGCTGCTGTCAGAGCACAGCCCAGGGGAGCTCTGGGCAAGTGTGACTCTTGTCCTAGGAGTTTAGGGTACAGGAAAGGTGTACCTGGCTCTGACTCTTGCCCAGATGATCTGAAGGCAAGAGGCTAATGGGGGCTGCCTCTGAGTGGGGAGCAGTGAGGAGAGAGGAGCATCAGGGGGAAGGGCTGACCTACTACAATTCAGCAGAACATCAGTGTTTTTATTCTTATTCTTGGGAACCAAATGGACATCCAGAAATGGTTGAGACTGGAGCCAAGAGGGCTGAGTGCCAGGAAGAAGGACTCCAGTAGGAGAAGCAGATTGGCAAGGGGGCAGGGATAAGTAACCGAGGGCAGATGCCAAGATCATGAAAGGTGTCATGAAAATCATGAAAGGAATCATGAAAAGCATGGCTTAGAGAAGTAATGGAGAGGTGGTGGTGGTGGTGGTTTTGTTGCTAAGTCGCGTCTGATTCTTGAGACCATGGACTGTAGCCTGCCAGGCTCCTCTGTCCATGAGATTCTCTAGGCAAGAATACTAGAGTGAGTTGCCATTTTCTTCTTCAAATGGAGAGGTAACAGCCAACAAAGTTGGCTGGAAGTGGTGTGAATGTCCCTGCTGTCCAGATTGGGACTGTGTCATGTATCAGGTCAACTCCCGTGTGAAGATCGTAACAGACCCTTTCTTACTGAGGGTGTGGAGATTGAAGGGACAGTGGGGGGAGAAGGGCTGAAAACATTTTTTAACCAGGGCCCATCCCAGTTTCATGGCTACAGGTGATCCCTGCAAAACCTCTCCAAAAACCAGCCAATGCACCCATGAAGGAACCCATATGTAGACCCACATGACAGAGGACACTGGACATCCCTGGGAAAATGACAAAGTCCACTGCCTCTTTGAAGAGACTCCACTTCTCTCCTTCTTATCTGCCTTCCCTGCCCCTGACCAAGACTAGAGCTGGGAGGAGTTTGGGGGAGGAGGCAGTGGGACAAGAAGAGTCCTTTCCCCACTGGTGGCCAACGAGCCACAGACAAGGCTGAGTGGGGAAGATCTTTTAATGAATGACACTCTGGTATTTGATTTGGACAGAACCTTTCTGGACTATTTTAATATTTGACAGTGGCCAAAAGACTTTAAGATATGCCAGACATGTGGGCAAGGAAAAGGAGGGGGGCTGCCAGGGAAAGCACTGAAGGACAGCAAAAGAGGAGCTGAATTCTGAGTGTATCATGTCACTGATGTTCCTCATGTCATTGAGGGACCAGTTACCCCTGGTGGGGGTGGTGACTCCAGGGATCCAGCTAACAGAGGGCGGGGGAGGGAGGGACCACTGGAGGGAGGCCAAGAGATGCTGTAAACCTCCCATGAGGTCTGGCCTTTCATTCTTCTTTTACCTCTTCACCACAACCTCTCCTGATACCAAATGAAGCTAAAGGGGAGAAATCTTTCTGTATCTTCCTGACAGTTATCTATAGAAACTATAGGAAATCAGTTAGGCAATAGTGTGGGAGACAAGAACTGGTTAGTAAAATTCCTATAAGCAGGCCTTGGGTATTTCATCAATGTAAAGACCAAGTAGTCACCTGAATTTTGTCCTTGACCAATACTGCCACACTTGGCAATTGACCATTCTCCTTCTGTCCATCTTTTGGTTGCATCTTGAAGAACGGTAATGCTTTCGTGAAAACAGCATCTGACACTACTCTGTTATGTTGTCATGGTCACGAGGCGATGTAGTAGTCCTTATAATAACCAACAGCCATTGAACATCTGTTCTGGGCAGATGGTTTATACACATTTCCTCATTGTATCAATTAAGATGCTTTCAGTTACAAGGAATGGGAAATACACAGCAAACTGATATTGAATGATTAAAAATCAAAATTATAAAGGGAATGTGGGGTTCTTATAACTAAAAGTGGCTAGAGCTAAGACAGACAGCTTCTGATAAAGTGTGATCAAGGTCCCGGCTTCTTTTCTCTACAATTTTTCAGATCTGCCATCTTATATGTATCAATTTCATCTTAGCAAACATGGCTGCAGCAGCTCCAAGCCTCCCATTATATACTGCAACTTCTTGAAAGAGATGGGGGTCTCTTCTTGCTAGCTGCTAAAAAAGAGAGACAGTTCTTTCCTAGACTACTTATAACAGCTCCAGAATCACTGGCCTGACTCAAGTCACTTTCCTGACAGAAACCCATGGCCAGGAGAATGGTCTGCAATACTGGACGTGGACCTGGGTTCTGAACCAAACACTGTGGCGGGGGGTGTTTCACGAACCCCTTTGGCTTAAACCAACTCAGAGCCCATGCCTCGAACTGGGATTTGGTGTTGATTCCTCCCACTTATAACTCCATAAGCAAGGTGTGTACGGGATGTGCAAAAACCAATCCCAACATCCTATTCTCATGACACATTAGGATAATTCAGCACCCCTGTCATGATACAGCTAAGGAAATCAAGCCTTTAAGAGGTTAAATTACTTTTCCAGCGTCATCCAGAGGTATGGCTTCACTCCAAGTCTATCCGAATCCAGGGCCCATGTCCTTCTTGCTGTATCTGCTCATTCGCCCAATACTTACAGAACATATGCATCATACTTGACTTCTGTAATTCTTTGTAGTACAGTGTGATTCTCTGAGCATTGGTCAAAGAACAGCTCTTCCCCTCCCAATGGTTGTTATATTGTGACTACAGGATATCATGGCTGGGACCCAGTTGATTTTTTTTTAAGCAGAAAAGGAAATTTTAGTAGGGAAGAAAAAGTCCCATCTGTTGTCTATGTATGGAGAAAAAGGTATTTATTCATTGCTTTGGAAATTCAGGGAACTGTGTCTAGAGCTGGAAAATCGACCTGCCCCTCCTCTCAGCAGCCAGAGGAGAGGCAGCTCTCCTTAACTGCACACAGAAATGAAGGTGTGCTCTGTGGTTACTGTTGTCAAGCCTGATGAAATAAAATAAGAGCCCAGAACTCTGGGAGGATCCAGCTGTGTTAAAGTCACCTAGAGTGGCCGATGTAATTGTCAGAGAGTGTCCTTGGCACTCCCAGAAGTCTATGTACAAAAAAGAGAGAGCTTGTGAACATATGTAATTTTATCCAGGCGCTAATGCAGTAAATGTGGGTATTTAAGGCCCAAATGGCTTCTCTGCAGAGGTTTTTTGTGGGCTTTCTGGAATCTACCTCTTCCATTTCAGAGAGCTCCACACGTGTGTTCTAGAACCATTCATTAGATCAGTTGGGAAAGAAAAGGCTAGAATGCCCATTTCTTTGTTTTCTGGGATTGTGTGAAGTGATGAACCGGGAAGACGTCTCCAGGGCTGATGGGCTTGGGGATTCTGGCGCCCCTCACACCCTCCTTCTGCTTTTCAGAGATGAACCGGCATCACTACGCGCTGTACGTGCACAACTGTCGCCTTGTCTTCCTCTTGCGCAAGGACTTTGACCAGGCAGATACCTTCCGCCCCGCGGAGTTCCACTGGAAGCTGGACCAGGTATGGGGCTCTCCTCGCGCCTACCCACCCCCCACCCCTCTGCTGGGATGGTTGGTGTGGTCCAGGGATGATGGCAATGGGTAGGTATCTCACGGTTCTGGTCACTTGCTGATTTGGAGGAAAATCAACTCTGGGAGTGGAGAAGGCAATGGCAACCCACTCCAGTCTTCTTGCCTGGAAAATCCCATGGACGGAGGAGCCTGGTAGGCTGCAGTCCATGGGATCGCTAGGAGTTGGACACGACTGAGTGACCTCACTTTCACTTTTCACTTTCATGCATTGGAGAAGGAAATGACAACCCACTCCAGTGTTCTTGCCTGGAGAATCCCAGGGACGGGGGAGCCTGGTGGGCTGCCATCTATGGGGTCGCACAGAGTCGGACACGACTGAAGCGACTTAGCAGCAGTAGCAGCAGCAGCAACTCTGGGAGACACACAACATCTTGAAGTCAGGATGGAAACTGCTGCCTTAAAGACCAGTAGGAAGTGGGGAGGACCACCCTTCCCGGCTGGGACCTTCACCCATCAGTGGACTTGCCAGTGTGCATCTTGTCCACTTGCTCCCTGTGGAGCTCCTGGGAAGCTGATCCTCTTGATCTCCAGGCCCGGTTTCTGATCTTTGTTAGCACATCTTTTTGTCATAAATGCTCTGTGTCTCCTCTTTGATGCTCTCCTTTGGGTGACGGTGCAGCCTTGCCTTTAGTGATAGTTGAGAGCAGGGACCTGAGGACTTTGAAGTCATCAGTGACACAGTGCCCTGTGAGCAGTTCATGTTCTCTTCTGAAGCAGGAAAATCTCTGACTCCTGACTTGTGATCACAAGGGCCGCCGTGTCGTACTTATCAATGATGAATGAAGTGTTTGGTTGGAATGGAATGCTTTGAAGTGTCTGTTTCTGAGGGCTGTGCAGTGATGAGATTGTGGAGGTGGCATTTCTCTGGGTGGCCATGTTGCTGAAGAAGTGTCAGTGCAGCAAACCTAGAGTTGCCCTCCGCTTAGATTGGGGGCGGGGGGTTGTAAATTTTTGTTCAGTGGTTTTATATTGTCAAGTGGGAGCGTGGTGGTCAGCAGAGAAGAGGGTCATAGCATGGGTGCTGCTTAATGAAGCAGATGAAATGATGCTCATTCTACTGCATCTCTTGTTTGCTTTCTTTCTGCCCAACCCATATTCTGAGAGCTTCTGGGGCCCTCGACCTTCTTTTCTCCCTCCAGGTGGATGCCACCTGCCTCAATGTGCTTGGGACAGAATGTTTCATAATCCTTTCCCTTCTCTTTCCTTATTACCTGTGTCTACCACTCCCCACTCCCTTTACTGCTGAAGCCCCAGGCACCCAGTGGGGCTGATCTCAGAGCGTGTCACTGGAAAGCATGCCAGAAGGAACTCATTTCCACCGAGATGAGAATGATTGCTACCACTCTTCCTCCATATGCACTGACATATGCTCTTTAGGAGAGAGATTCATTAATCTCAGGGAATGCCTCAAAGGTGGGACATCAGGCAGTGTGACAAGGTCAAGGATGCCAGGCTGATGGGAAAGATGTTTGAGGGAGCACTGGGGCAACTGCCTAATCCACTCTCAATAAATCCCATCCTGCTGGACCCTGGGTTTTGGAAATATGGCATTTGGATTAATATATGTTCTTCTGAATTAGGAATTCTGGGTCTTACAGAAATTACACTATCTTGACATTGCTTATCTGATTTCCCAGCAACCTCTTGGCTACCTTCTAAAATGCCATATGATTTTTATGGGATGTTTTTATAAATACATAATATGAATTGAGGTTTATTAGAATAAATTCCATATTGTGAGGGGTTTTAATAAAAACATTTCTAGCTGGCTGAGATCATTATAGATGCCCTTCAGTATTTCCTAAGATGGGATTGAAAAGCACTGTTATAGGCAAATGAAAGTCATAGGCTTTGGAATTTAAACTAGCTGCGGAAGGAATTCTGGCGAGAATACTGGAGCGAGTATTCCCTTCTCCAGGGGATTTTCCCAACCCAGGGATCAAACCCAGGTCTCCTGCATTGCAGGTGGATTCCTTATCATCTGAGCCACAGGGGAGCCTTATAGTGAATCTAGGAATTCTGAAATCTGTTCCCAAACTGATGACTTTAAGGAGGAGCTGAGAGCCACTGAATATCTTCCAAACTTCTCTGGTCTCATTTACTACCATTCATGTGTGCCTGCTCTGTGCCAGGTACTCTGTGTGCATAGCTCATTCTCCTCTCTCCCCAAGTCCTGCTGGGTAGATAATATGGGGCAGGAGACCATGATCCAGCAACTTAGCCAAAGTCACACAATAAACATGGCTAGGACCTGCTTTTTCCGTATGCTCTAGTGCTCTTTGGTGAGCATGCTCATTAAAATGCAAAATGTTTACATTTTTTAATTTCAAATAATTTTTATCTGGAGATTGGAATTATGCAAAATGTTTATCCTGATAAAACCCTATGAAACTGTCAAATCTTCACTTTGCTCAAGCTCTGTCTTCCTTTTCTTAGTCAGCTTGGGTTGCCATAACCAAATACCATAGCCTGGCTGGCCTGAACAACAGAGATTTATTTCTCAACAGTTCTTGGGGCTGGAAAGTCCAAGATCAAGGTGCTAGCCAGTTCCATTCCCCCATGAGGACCCTCTTCCTAGCTGTAGCTAGCAGCCTTCTCACTGTGCTCTCACATGGTGGAGAGAGCTTGGGTAACTATCCTTCTCCTTATCAGGTAGGAACCCTATTGGACTAGAGTCCCACCTTTATGACCTCATTTAACCTTCATTACTCCTAATGAAAGTTATACCCTTTCTCCCAATACAGCCATGTTTAGGGTTAGAGCTTCAACATATGAATTTTCAGGGATGCAGTTCAGCTTATGGAGCTTCCCTGGTGGCTCAGTGGTAAAGAATCCACCTGCCAATGCAGGAAACGTGATTTCAGTCCCTGGGTTGGGAATATCCTCTGGAGAAGGAAATGGCAACCTACTCCAGTATTCTTGCTTGGAAAATCCAATGGACAGAGGAGCCTGGTGGGCTCTAGTCCATGGGGTTGCAAAAGAGTCAGACACAACTTAGTGACTAAACAAAAACAACAAACAACAATTTAGCTATAGCATTCTTCTACTAAAGAAATTAACATAAAAAAATGTAAAGCCTGCCTGTTGATGATCAGAAGCCCCAGCTCACTTGAACAGTTGCCCACACCCTGAGAGGAGCTACGGTAGGTGGGAATAGGGAACCTCCACCATACTCATACTAGCAATCCAGTGGTATATACAGACTAGCCCAGATTCCTCTGTCCACTATTTAGCTCTCTAGCTTCTTTCTGTAGACAGAAACATATCAGAAGTTTCTTGGATGTAAATCATTTGATGCCAAACTGTGTATATCTGATAAAGTACCTCCCTCAGGAAGCCATTCTGGGTCACCTCTTATATAGCTTGCCTCTTCCCAATGCTCTCCAGACTCCATGCAGAATCCATCCCAGTACTTACTCTACCTTAGTTACCCATTTATTTGTCCTGCCTTTCTTCCCACTTTGTGCTGAGATCCTGGAGGGCAGGTCTGTGTCCTACTCTCTCCAAATTCTCAGTCCAGATTGTAGCCCTGAGCACACAGTTGGTGTCCAGTAAATGTTTGCATAAAAATGAATGGATGTTGAGATCAAAAGAAAGGAGAGACAAAATGAGGGAGGAAGAGAGGGAAGTAGAGAAGAAAAATCAAGATCTTTTAAAACCTCCTGGTGATTAATTGATCTTTTGATCCATTTTTATGGAACATTTTAAAATTCTAAAATTTTGCCCTTTTTTACTCTCTGGATCTCAAAGGTTCAGCTTTGATCTTGATAAATTTACTATTTCAAAGATCTCACCAATTTTACCCCCAGTGGTTCTGTAACTGTTATAAAACTTTCTGGCCTTGCGTGGAAAAGGCTCAAGCCAGTCTAATGTGCTGTGTATATTCAAATTGCTGGCCCACCTCAGGGGTTCTAAAAGCATAATAAATGTCCTACTGCCTGGTGAGACCTCATTTATTCTGAGCATAAACTTTGTGCCAAACTCTTTGTTAGATACCAGAGATCAGCTAAAATAAAGCCTCTGCTCTCTGGAAGTATCCATGACAACGGGGCAGACAAACACATAAACAGACAGTGTACAATCCTATATGATATGTGAAGAAGTCAGGGAACCAGGTAGGGGGAGTCTGTGGAGATGAGTCTGAAGGATCCTGACATGTCCCTGGGTATAAGGGCCTGGGAAAGCTTCTGGAAGGGATGGAAGGGTTCAGAGGAGGTAGAGCCAGGTAGCCAAGCCAGGAGGGAATGAGAAGGAGGGTTGTCTTCAGGGGACTGTAAGCTTTCTGTGTGTCAGGGCACAAGGACAAGGTGGAAGGGGAAGACGTCGACAGTGTTATTGAACCTGGACTTGGGTCCATTCGTACAACTGACACAGGTTATGGTGAAAGAAAGTACAGCATTTATTCTAAGGCTCCAAGCAACAAGAATGGGCAGCTCATGCTCAAAAAACTGTGAACTCCCCCATGGCTTTCAGGGAAGAGTATTTTAAAGGTGGTGTGAGGGAGCGGGCCTCAGAGTACGTGATCAGCTCATGCACAGTTCTAATTGATTGGCATCAAGGTGAAGTTTTAAGCATTACCAATCTGGTTTCAACCTGTCTGGAGTCTCTCTGCTTTTAGTCAGCAACTTTCATCTGATGGGCATCTGTAACCTGTAAAACAACTTAGGAATGTGTGTCAGACCTTTATCTGTGTTTTTCAGGGACCTGGGAGTTTGGTGACACTGCTTTGTGGACTTCTTATTGTCTAAATTGTTACCAGTTTGTTAGTTCAACAACTAATCTTTGTTTAGCATTTCCTAATCATTAACCCCTCGAAGCCAGTCTAATGTATTGTGTGGGCTTCCCTGGTGGCTCAGTAGTAAAGAATTCACCTGCCAGTGCAGGAGATGGGTTCAGTCCCTGGGTCAGGAAGATCCCCTGGAGAATACT